CCCCCCCCCCGCCCCAGGCAAGTCCTTTCAAGTTGCTGATTCTCCATTTCCTTTTGTGAAAAGAGCGAGTACGAACCTGGCATTCGCTCTCAGGTTGCACCGGTGCTGACAAGCTGTGGGTTTAGAAACGTGAGGAGATATTAACGGCAATGCGAAACCACTAGGGAGTCAGTGCAAGCCTAGGGAGAGGCCCAGAGTCAGTCTGCAGCCCAAGCCAAGCCGGGCGCCAGGCCAGCGCTGCTCAAACTTTTCCACAGACGCATCCTTCTCAAAAGAACTCCCGTGGAGACCCGCATGGTGTTCTGAAACAGGGAGGCCCCCCTTCCCCACAAGAAAGACATTTCTTTGAATTCTGGAATTTCATTATTTTTTGAACTGCGAAGTCTGCTTTCTACTCCATAATTTAACCTAGTTTCTTTGAATATAAAGAATATGTTACCAAATCTTTGAGCAAAATTAGTGCTCCAGGAATACACACTGGGGCTTCCTGTAACACCACCCACAGGGGGACCTACCGCCCCATTTGAAAAGGCTTGTAAGATGACTGGTTTTTTTTGGCTTTTATTTGTTTTTTGTGGTATGTGGGTGGGATGGGGCTGGGGGTGGAGGTCCTGCTTTGGATTTGTGAGTTGGAGGGCAAAATTTCTAGAAAAAGCTCAAATGAACAAGGTCACTGCCTTCCACAGCACCCTCATTTAAGAAATTGAAAAACTGAGTAAAAAGGTGTGAATCTCAGTCCATAAACTAAGATGTGTAAGAATAGTCACTTATCCATTATTTTATATAAAGACTTATCTGTAGACCCTGAGCAGCCAATCCACTGAAGGAGTGGGGGAACTGGCCTTCCTCCTTCCTGGAGTCCCTAACCACAGGGATTTACACCGCCCTGCGGTGTGGGATGGAGAGGGGAGCACCCAGCCATTTGGTCCCCATCCCCCCAAATTTGGCTGAGTTGTCTCCACTATTCAGGCTTATATGGCTGCTTCAGTCAATTAAACCACGTCTGTGTCCCACAAGGAACACAGGAAATTCGGGTGGGCTGGAGGTGGCGATCATCCTATCGGCTGAGACAGGCCATGAGGTCATTCTTTCTAGGGCTTTCCAGTTTCTGAGATGATATTACAGGGAACTGAGGCACACAGACCCTCTGCCCAGGCAGGTACTGCTGACCTCTGGCTCTCTCTCTCTGTCTCTCTTCCTCCCAGCCCAAGGGAATCTCTTTTTCATTCTAGAGAGAATCCACTTCTTTCTGTTTCTTCCTCACACGCTGGGCACAAATACCTTAATTCTGCACCACAAATTCCAGTGTATCCTGGGCCACTTGGGAATAGAAAGGTGGTGGTGAAATTGTGGTGAGTTGGAACGTGCCCACCCGTTTGTGCAGGAGTTGCACAGGCCCACCACACGTTCCTGCTTTCCTTCCATGGAACAGAGTCGTCGCCAGGAAGTGGCAGCCCAGCCAGCCTCCTCATTTCCCAGCTCTCCTTGCGTCCAGGCAGATCGCGTGCCTGGGTCCCATCAGTGGAACGGAACCGAGGATGTCCCTTTCCGGGGTGGGGAAATGGTGTGTTTCTGCACTTCTTTTCCCCACTCCACAGGCTGAAATCAGAGACTCTACGTTCCCCGGAGATGGTGGAGACACAGAAAGGAAGGATCTCCATCCAGTCTCTGTATCACAGACTCCGGGCTTGTTATTCACAATCGAGAAAGTATCTCTTCTTTTGTGTCGTGCCACTGAAATCCGAGGGGCTTTTTGTTCCGGTGGCCCATGTTATCCTAATTAATACCCCACTCTCCACACGACAGCTGCAGCTCAGGTCCAGCTGTTGTTGCCAAATGGGCAAAGTTGATGGAGCTGTCTTCCCATTTATAAGGAAAAACCAGAAACCCAGATGTTGATGTGATGTTTTCCAATTTTTAAACGTCTCCGAATTTAAATTTCAGAACACACTGTACAGGTCAATATTGTTAAGGGGTCCCGTCTAGATTCCCTCCAGGCCTGATTCAGCTTGCTGGCCACCAGCTCTCCTTTTTTTTTTTTTTTTAAATTTTTTTTAACGTTTATTTATTTTTGAAACAGAGAGAGACACAGCATGAACGGGGGAGGGGCAGAGAGAGAGGGAAACACAGAATCGGAAGCAGGCTCCAGGCTCTGAGCCGTCAGCACAGACCCCGACGCGGGGCTGGAACTCGCGGACTGCGAGATCGTGACCTGAGCTGAAGTCGGACGCTTAACCGACTGAGCCACCTAGGCGCCCCTACCAGCTCGCCTTCTAACGACTGCTTTACAGTATTCTGCCGCATAATTCCCTCCTTCAGCGAGGAATACACTCTGCTCCCTGCTTGAATGAGAGAACGAGAAAAGAAAAAAAACACTAGGGAAATGTAATTTAATCTCAAAATATCCCTCTGTCACCCTTGCCTATCTTGCAGCGCAGATGTATAAAGACAGCCCAGGGGATTCCTGCATTTCAGGAGGGCCCCTCCCCTCTTAGTAGGCTCTCACTGAGGTTAAAAGCAGCTTCTTTATGAAAGATGTATTTTGCAAATGTCAGTTTCAAAGGTGTTATTTCTTGAGCCCTTACTGTACATATGTGAATGTGCCGCCATTTCCAGTCAGGTTGGCCATCCCATTTAGAGGGGAAGGAGAAAAGGGGCGCCTGGGTGACTCAGGCAGTTGAGCATCTGACTCTTGATTTCGGCTCAGGTCATGATTTCACAGCTCATGAGTTCAAACCCCGAGTCAAGCTACAGGCTGACAGAGCCTGCTTGGGATTCTCTCTCTCTCTCTTCCTCTCTCTCTTCCCCACTCAGGCGTTCTCTCTCTCTCTCTCTCTCAGAATAAATAAACACACTTTAAAAAAAAAGAGGGGAAGGAGAAGAGAACTGAACAGAAAAGAAACCTGTTGGGAATGAGGGAAGAGTATTTCTGATGCCCTTTTCTGTAGCTGGAGCTGAAGATCCTTTTCTGTTATTACTCCTGGAGGAAATGAGGGACAGGACAAGGGACTCAAACAAAAAGTCAAAATCCTATAACACTCTTCATTCTGACCCCAAAAGGTGGGAAAAGTTACTCACCCTGCTTACTTTACGACCTCAGTTTATTCCCTCTCCCTACTTCACTGCATTTTAAAAATTTGTGATAAAACATACATAACAGAAAAGTTACCATTTTAACCATTTTTAAGGGTGCAGCTCAGTGGCATTAGTACATTAAGTATTGCACAACCGTCACCACTGTCCATTTCCAGACTTTTTCGTCTTCCCCAACTGAAACTCTGACTGTATCCATTAATTAGTAAGTCCCCACTCCCCTTTCCCCTAGCCCCCATAAATCACGGTTCTTTCTGTTTCTGTGCATGTGGTTGCTCTGAGTACCTCTCATAAGGGGAACACGATGTGGGAAACAAAGGCAAAAGAAAAAAATTAAATTTCCTTACAACTTTACAAGTCCTTGAGACAGGCAGAATGACCTTGCTCTAGGAACTCGGCAGTCTGGATGTTGACACTTTGTTAAGGGCAAAAGGCAATCTTAGCTTAACATTATCCTTACCTCCAGATTCTTGTAAGTTTCTTTTAACATATACAAATTCCTTTGGAAACTTCCTTTATCTCAAATCCCTCCAAGATATATGTTAGCAACCATTCTCCAAGCATATGGACCACTGATACACATAGGAATGGTCTCATGACTGAGGTTTCATTAGACAGTAACAAATGACCTTTTCCTGACAACAGCTAGCCCCCTCAAGGTCCTGGAAACATTTCTTCCAAGATTCCTTAGAGACTTACGCTATCCCTAACCCTCTCCCAACTTGTAAGTATATAATCAGTCGTTCCTCACAAACTCAGTGCAGCTCTTTCTGCTCATGAGTCCTATCCCTATGCTTTTAATAAACCGAAGACATCTCAAGAATTCTTTCTTGACCATTTCTGCCAAACCCCAATATTTCCACATCTGAATATACAGAATTTGTCTTTTGTGACCAGCTTATATCACTTAACACAATGTATTCAAGGTTCATCCATTTTGCTTTATTTATTTTTTTTATATATCTTTTTTAAAGTAGACTTTATCTTTTTTTTTTTTAATTTTTTTTTCAATGTTTATTTATTTTTGGGACAGAGAGAGACAGAGCATGAACGGGGGAGGGGCAGAGAGAGAGGGAGACACAGAATCGGAAACAGGCTCCAGGCTCTGAGCCATCAGCCCAGAGCCTGACGCGGGGCTCGAACTCACGGAGCACGAGATCGTGACCTGGCTGAAGTCGGACACTTAACCGACTGCGCCACCCAGGCGCCCCTAAAGTAGACTTTATCTTTAGAGCAGTTTTAGGTTCACGGGAAAATTGAGAGGAAGTTATTTTTCCTCTACCCCATCCCCTACATATGCATAGATGGCTTCCTCTATTATCAATATTCCCCACCTGAGTGGTAAGTTTGTTACAAATCAATGAACCTATGTTGACATATCATTGTCACCCAAAGACCAGAGTTTACATTAGGGCTCACTGTTGATGGTGTAAAATACTATGCATTTAGACAAATGTATAATGTTGCATATCCACCCTGATTAGTATCATACAGAGTAGTGCTCTATTCATCCCTCTGTCTCTCTCTCTCTTTTTTTTTTTTTCATTTTTTTAAAGTAATCTCTACGTGTGGGAGCTCACTTACAACCCCAAGATCAAGAGTCACATGCTCTACTCACTAAGCCAGCCAGGCGCCCCCTTTGTTTCCCTTTTTGAATGATCAGTGTAGAGAGCATTCTACAGCAAAGTTTGCACCAGTAAAATCTCTAAGGGAGTCATTTTAAGAGAAACGCTCTGTATGGACCACTGGGCATCCCCCACAGGGGACTGCACACTGCTTATATCTCCCGACATCCTAAAAGGATTCTGGTATGGAAAAGGCATCAGGATTTTTTTTAAACCTGAAAATGTACTTATTTCACTACTTTTGTGTGTGTGTTTTGTTTTGTTTTGTTTTGTTTTGTTTTGTTTTGTTTTGTTTTGTTTTGTTTTTAAGGAAGAGAGCAACCCCTTGACACCATCTGTCTGATGTATAGACACAGTATTCACCACACCCGGCCGGGCTGCCCCTGGTCATGTACCTGTGCAGTTTTGGATTAACACTCTTCACCTGGGCTGCCTCACCTGGGTTCCACGTGGAAGCATGAAAATGGGCCACGGAGCACTTGTTCAATCAGCTGTCCAAAGTCTTCATGTGCCTATTATAGAAACCATCAAGTGTCTTTTAGAATGGCTTTTGCAGGGGCCCCTGGGTGGCTTAGTTGTTAAGCACCTGACTTTGGCTCAGGTCATGATCTCACGGTTTGTGAGTTCAAGCCCCATAATGGGCTCTGTGTCTGCTTTGGATCCTGTCTCTCTCTCTCTCTGCCCTTCCCCCCTCCATGCTGTCTCTCAAAAATGAATAACCATTAAACAGTAAATTTTTTAAAAATGTAGAATGACTTTTGTAGTGTTAATAATCTGGTGGTGGTTTTATTTTTTCCTTTTATTTATTTATTTTTTAATATTTTATTTTTAAGCACTCTCTACACCCAACATGGGGCACAGACTCACAACCCCTCCGATCATAAGCCACACACTCTACCCACTGAGCCGGCCAGGCACCCCTCATTTTAAATTTTTTTTCCTCTTCAGGGGCCAGAGCAAATACAAAGATAAAGGAAGGAGCTAGAGCAAAGCCAGGGATAATGGGGGCAGAGTCAGTGCAGGACTTGGGACTTCCTGCTTCTGACCCTGCTTTTTCTTATACCTCAACTAAATCCCAACTCCAACATACACTGCCTCAGAAATAAATGATGACCATCATCTAATTTATTTACTGGCCTATGTTTGGTATAGAAAGACAGCAAAGATTAATAAAAGATAACAAGAATTGAAAGCTGCATAGGTGAACCATTTCTGTAATCCTAGAGATGAAACGGAGGAAAGGACAGATGGGCAATGTGGCTGGAGGGAAACAACTGGAAAACATGGGAAGGCCAGTTTAATAGATCGTGGTTTATGCATGTGGTGAACTGCTATACCACTATTACATGGAATGCACACGAAGACCTTTTATTTTATTTATTAGAAAAAAATTTTTTAATGTTTACTTATTTTTGAGAGAGAGAGAGACAGAGCATGAGCGGGGGAGGGGCAGAGAGAGAGAGAGAGAGAGAGGCAGAGCTAGAACAGGAAAGGGGCAGAGAGAGAGGGAGAGACAGAATCTGAAGCTGGCTCCAGGCTCTGAGCTGTCATCACAGAGCCCAACGCAGGGGCTTGAACCCATGAACCGTGAGATCATGACCTGAGAGAAATTAGATGCTTAACCAACTGAGCCATCCAGATGTCCTGAAGACTTTTTATTTTTGAGAGAGAGAGAAAGAGAGAGAGAGAGTGCGAGCTGGGGAGAGGCAGAGAGAGAGGAAGACAAGGAATCTGAAGCAGCCCAACGCAGGGCTCACAAGATCATGACTTCAGCCAAAGTCAGAGGCTCAACTGACTGAGCCACCCAGGCGCCCCGCAAAGACTTTTTAATAACACAGGAATACGCTCAGTAGGAAAAATCAAATGAAAACAAAAGCCACTTGATATCACTTCAACCATTAACCATCTCCATTCTTCAAACATAACAATGATTCCCCCATTTAAAAAAAAAAAAAAAACCTGCCTCCTTGAGGGGCGTCACAATTCCTACTCAAATTTATACAACAATTGATAGTCCCAATCCAGAACATTAATAAATGCATTCAGGTTCATTTATTCATTCCACAAATACTGTGTTCCTACCATGTACCACGAACAATGAGGCATATTCCCTGCCTCCTGCAGCTTCTGGTGTTTGATAAATTTATAGAGAATCTATTTATATTTGGCAAAAGTCATCAGCTCAACAAGGCCTTCCATAATCACCCTGATAACATCGAAACCGCCCCATCCGCACCTGGGGCTCCTGCTTACTCTTACCTTGTTAACATTTCTCTTGTTTCAAAACAAGAATCACCTCTAACGTGCAATAGAATTCATTCATTTATTATTTATTTACGTGTATGAAGGGAAGGAAAAAGTCTCTGTCCTTCAGGATCTTCCAGCTGGACTAAGAATTAAATGGATGTGAGACCAATTAACAGAAAAGAACCCAGAGATTTTATTTTTTATTTGTTTTACTACATGCTCACGGAGGACCAATAATGAAATTGAGATCTAAGGAAATGACTGAGGCATGCAGTTTTTACACTTTCTAGACAAAAAGACGATACATCTGTGAGGAGTTGACAGGGCAAAGAAAAGTTAACTTTGGGAGCTTCGGTTAGTAGGGAATTCTAAACAGGATTTGGGCTGGGGGAGTAAATTAGTAAAGAGTAACAAGGTTGTTTATTCAGCCTCCTCTGCTCTGAATTGCCCATCTCTGGTGAAAAGGATGTCTCTTTACTTCATGGTACAGGGAGGGTACCTTTCATAGGGAGAGTTATTTCCTGCTTTCAAGGGGACGGAGGGGGGTCTGAGTGTCTTCTTAAGCACTTAAGAAGCTTTTATTTATGGGGGCGCCTGGGTGGTTCAGTCGGTTGAGCATCCAACTCTCGGTTTCGACTCAGGTCATGATCTTATGGTTCATGAGTTCGAGCCCCGTGTGGGGCTCCAAGATGAGCCTGGAGCCTGCTTGAGATTCTCTGTCTCCCTCTCTCTGCCCTTCCCCCCTGCTTGTGTGCGTGCGCTCTCTCTCTCTCTCTCTCTCTGCAAGTAAATAAGCATTTTTTTCAAAGAAACTTTCACTTATAATAATCAATATTCCACAGTGGCACATTTTGGGGCAGGCCTACCCGTGGCCCCTACATGTCTAGTCTGTGTGGTAGAATCCAAAGTCTGTGAACTTGCTAATACACCTAGATCAGTGCCTAGTCTAGGGTAAGCTACAAGGATTTGTGCACTGAGAAATTGAATTTGTAAGTACTCCTGCATATTCTGGGACTCCTGGGTGGCTCAGTCGGCTGAGCATCTGACTTTGGCTCAGGTCATGATCTCGCAGTTCATGAGTTCAAGCCCCACGTTGGGCTCTGTGCTGACAGTTCAGAGCCTGGAGCCTGCTTTGAGTTCTGTGTCTCTGTCTTTCTCTGTCCCTTCCCCTGCTCACACACTCTCTCTCCCTCTCCCTCTCTCTCTCAAAAATAAATAAGCATTAAAAAAATAAATACTGTATATACTATGATAATTTTCCTAAAACAAAAAGGTCTGTTGAGGTCTCTACCTCTAGAGACAGAAAGCAGCTTGCCTTTAGTAATGAATTATTCCTCACCCCATTCTGCAAGGTTTCAGAGAAGGTTATATCTTCCCTCATTGTTATCTTCAGTTTCTTAGCAAGTCTATTGGACCTCCAAACTTTTACCTATTCCATCCACTTCTCTCTGTCTTCACTTGCCTACCCAAGCTCCCATGCTCTTTCCAGACCTCTAGACCTGGGCCCCTTGCATCCACTCTGCCCCCTTACAGTTCATTCCTCAGACAGAGCAACAGTCATCTTTGAAAAACATATATGAAGTAGATCATGTAACTTCCCTGCTTAAAGCCCTTTAACAGCTGGCCATTACCTTTAGAACAAAGACCAAACTCTTAACAGGCCCACAAGGTTCTACCTGGCCTGGTCCTTGGTCACCTCTTGGCTCAGCATTTGACTTGCTTCAACCTCCCTTTCTCTGTCAGTCCCAGGACCCCCTGGAGCTCCTTCCCTCCCCGGCATTCTCTGGCCTCCCCCAGGCTGGCTCTGCCTGTCCCTCAGTCTACAGTTCAGACCCCACCTCCTCAAGTCTTGCCTGGCCACCTTATCAGCATACCCTCCAGTTCCTCATCACTTTATTTCCCGGGCTGTCTCTCTCATAACTTGCCAGGCTCTGAAATATTCGCATACTTACTCATTGTCCCCCCTCCCCCACCGCCGCCCCCACTGGAACACATATCCTCTGAGAGCTGAGATCATACCCACTATGTTCACGCTGTAGTCCCAGCATTAGCATTAGTACATGCATGGTAGGTATTTTCTGAGTGAATGTCTGGGGCAGGAAGAATAATTAACAATGATGCTGATAGTCTTTGTCGCTGGGAGAAAGAAAGGATATCTATTATTGCTCTAGAATTTTCTATAGTGAATATTAAACACTTAATAATCATTTTTAAGTGAGTTATCTTTATTTTTTTAATGATTTATTTATTATATTTTAGAGAGAGAGTGTGTGCGAGCCAGGGAGAAGGGTAGAGGGAGAGAGAGAATCTTAAGCATGGAGCCCAATGTGGGGCTTAAGAATCTGAATGTGGAGCCCAGTGTGGGGCTCGATACCACAACCCTGGGATCATGACCTGCGCTGAAATCAAGGGTCTGACATTCAACTGACTGACCCACCCAGGCGTGCCCAAGTTGGTTATTTTTAAAGAGTGGGGTGAGGAGAGGCATTAGACCATAGAAGGTCTGGTGAGCCTGGCACACCACTTTGCAACGTGGTGACTGCTGAGGCCCATCCTGCCCAAGGCGTGTGCAGAGACTGGAAGGCTCCTTCTCTGCATCGAGTATTGACATGTCGCTGTGCAATTAGAATTCTAGGTTAGGGTTTTCACCGGTGAGCAAAGCTGCAAGTGGGAGATTAGCAAATCCCTCGCTCCTGTCCAACAGACACTGGATCTGATTGCACTTCTCTACCTGGGCACATGCAGCCAAAGTTCACAGCAGCCCTTGGTGAGTTGCAGGTTGTGGGAGGGATGCGTGTTGTGGGGGAAAAAGAGGGGATAGGGGAGCAGGGTGGCAGAGGGTGGAGACAGAGTACCCACAGAGCTGGAAGGAATCTTGGAACGTCATCTAGAATTATCCACCCACACATTCTGAGAGCCAGCCTCTCCCAAGCATTGTCCTGGGGCAGCAGAGAGGAAAATTACTTCACCTAGAAATCGCACAAAGTCAGTCCCAGGTGGTCTGCACAAGGATTGGGGTGGAGGCTGGCAGAACCCAGGAATGGGATAAAAGAATAACAATTTTTTAATTAATAATAATCTCCATATTGAGGATGTCTGTCCCAACGTCCCCGTAACTTATAGCACCAAAAATCTTCTCAGGTAACATAGAATGACGTGGTGCCAGGCTGGCCCCATGAGTCTCAAATCTCTAAACGTGACCAAACTTCCTTGGGCAACTAACCAGTAGACTGACGATATGGAACTCAGGGGTCAAAAGAAATTGCATTCTAAACTCTAAGGTTACAGATGGAAGAAAATGACCAAGGGGTGCCTGGGTGGCTCAGTCGGTTAAGCATCTGACTTCACCTCAGGTCATGATCCTTCAGTTCATGAGTTCAAGCCCTGTATCAGGCCCTGTGCTGACAGCTCAGAGCCTGGAGCCTGCTTCAGATTCTGTCTCTCCCTCTCTCTCTGCCCCTCCCCGACTCACACTCTGTCTCTCTCA